TTGGGGCGGAAAGGTCCTCGAGTGGCGACCGCGTACCGGGAGACGCAGTGTTGGCAGGCCCCCCACAAGGTGGACCGACGATCTGGTAAAGGTCGCGGGAAGCCGCTGGATGCGGGCAGCATGGGACCGATCGTTGTGGAAATCTATGGGGGAGGCCTATGTCCAACAGTGGACGTCTTTCGGCTGAAATGATGAAAAATGATGAAAAAGGAAACTCAAATTTATTAGATGCTAAAATGTTTAGTTTGTTTAATTTTTGTCAGAGGAACTGTTTTTGTCCCTTGATTATCCAATCACAAGTCAAAATGCGCACAATGTAGCAAACAGAGACCACTACGCTACAATCCCCATCTATACAGTTTTTTTTTAACTTGTATGTCTTAGTAGGTATTATAAACATTCTTTATATTATGAAGTAAGCACCAAATATGTCATGCAACCATATTTGGTGCTTAGTAACTATAAGGTCAAGTGCATTAAGTATATGCGACTAAATAGTGATATAACTCATTGGTGGCTGTACATCTAAAAAAAAATAGCTATGTTGCATTTAGTGTTCCTAATACTTAATTATTGATTCATACATGCGTTATTTTAATTGCTTCTTTCAGATAATATTGCCGTCATGATAAATACATATAATGATATAAAAAAAAACATTTGAGATCTTATATTGTTTTAAAAAAAACATAGTAAGACTTAATATTGTATTCCAAATCTTAGGACTTTTCCCATAACTGATGTTGTTCTTGGTTTGTTAACATCCAAACTTATACCTATAATGTTATAAATGCGACAGTGTGCCCGTCTATCTGACTGTTATCTTATACCAAATGTTATTTGAATCGGTTCAGCCGTTGAAGCGTGAAGAGGCGCCCATACCACTAAACCTATTGAAATAAAATTTGGTTTGTGATATTGACATACTTAGTTTGAGTTCCGTGAAAGGATATATGATAGTTGTTATACTTTAAATCAAATTATAAAAGGGTGAAAAGGAGAGTGGAAGTTGTACAGGAAACCAATTAGACCACGCAGACTAAGTCTGGAGCACCCACTAGTTTATTATAAACACAAGCACGTGTATCTCATACGGTTCAATAAACGCCTTTAAGCAGACATAGCTTATATTATGAAGGTACATATTTTTTTAATGTTGACGATTTTTTTCGTTGTCCGTGGCCAGATCTAATCATAACTCATTGAGCGGGCTACATGAAAACACACATTATTTCTTATTAATCTAGTAGCAAACCGTAATCAATTATCGAAACTTGACTAATAGTCGATCCCACTAAACCGACGTTCTGTCATTTCTCTTCGGTTAATCGATTACTTCAAGCATGAACTGTAGGGGGTCCGCTCGCACAAGGGCCATAGCTGGGACCAACTTTGTATTTGTTATAAATCTTTTTAATCTCCATACTTTTATTATTGTATACCTGCATCTAAACGAATTCCAGGGAGTTCGTAATATGTACTTCTAAACATCTAAAAAACATTCATTATTTCTGATAGCCCAATTAGCAGTAACTAAGCAATAAATGAATTTCTATCACATTATAGACAACGTCGATTCATCGCAATGTAACTAACAATACAATATTTCAAATAGCGATAAGACAATTAGGAAAACTTATTTTGTCATTTCCGTTAGTAACAAGTCACACAAGTACACTGCACTAAACTTATTCACAGACGTCTTATACAGTTACAACAATAAAGTAAATGTTTACAAACGAACCGGTCGGCGGTTTCACAGGCGTTCTTATTTTATGAACAATAAATTTTATTAACACACACATCACATTTTTTTTTCAAAGACTTTGAAGCTGGCACAATCAGCGTTAATTGCTGCTACTCTTACGTAAAGTTCCGTAGGCGTTTCGAGTATTCTATGCTTGCTCGAGACTGCACCCTCCCAGGATACAAAGAAAAGATTGAGTCATCATAACAAATGCGCTGCCTCCGTGCCGAGGGCAGGGAACTCTCTACAATTGGACTCTTCTTATCTGTGACGGCTCCGATCATTGTGTCCCGAATTCTTTGAGCTTTAGAGTAAGGATGACGAAATGCTGACCCGTTTTAGTATTTTACTTCTCTCAGCTTTTGTTGACTTGTCGAGTTCTATTCGGATGACTTTTTGTAAACGTTCACAGCCTCGCTTGTGAAGCTCGCCTCTGACTTCATAAATCTTATCTTACGTATCGCATCGTGCGGGAATTAAACAGTGCCTATGGTTCCTTCGTTTAAATTGACAGATAAAAAAAGTATCAGTATTGCCTTAAAAAATCCAATTACACAATACTTTACTACCATAAAGCACGGTAAAAAAACATATATGTTGATTAACGATATTGACTACGTAATTAGTTTTCGGGTATAATCAATCTTTGCAAAAATATTCATACAATAAGTCATCAAAATCACATGTAAAGCTGTGCTCTAAAAATTGGTAGCAAGCAACCTAATAATGAAAAAACTTTTATTAAAAAAACACGAGAAAGAAAATAAAAATGAAACCATTAATCATATTGATGAATGCACTCAGGATCACAGATACTAACGCATCGAGGAACGTAGCCGGTTGCATTATCCTCGCAGTCGTTTCTTTCGATTTAGTTTTTGGGAGGCCACTCATCCGAAATCATGTAATGCGTTTATTTAGAAGCAGTCAATAAACTATTAAATTCAACAAATAATGACGAATTTATTTATTTATTTACTTTATAATACATACAACACTCTCTTTGAACCTAATAAATGTGGCTACTATAAAGGTTTAATTGTAATAATTGCTGCAATCCCCTTCAAATCTAAAGCGAGTATCTTAAAAGATAATCCTTTAACTTTTCCTAATATGGAATGAAATACATTAATAATAACATTTGGAGTATCACTCGGTTGTTGTAGTCAACACACCCACATTTCCTCATTCCGCGGATCTCTGACAAACTACCATATTGCAGAAGCATAACCGATTCAATATGATTATAATAATAATTATTTTTTTATATGTATAAGAATTAAACCACACAGATTTTTAAATAAAACTAGTTTTTCACGGGTTAATGCACGAAACTTTATTTATTTATTGACGTTTCGCAGCCTTTACAGGCTGCTTTGTCGGAATCAATTTTTATATCTAAAGAAAGTGTTTACAAGATAATTTTTCAGCAATAGCTCCTAAGGTCACATCCTTTCCTAGGCATGCAAATATACTTTTTTATTAATAAGTATATATCTAAACCTATCATTTGAATGGCACATTTCTTAGTATTTTATATAGCTACACATCAATCATTCTTATCCCAAATTGTATACAACTGATTGGTCACCTTTTGTCATCCCGGGGAACCGGTGGGACATGCATTGAGCGAAAGTTTAGACCGGTCTGTATAAGTACTACGCGTTCTTTAAAGTACGCTTCTGTAAGTATATATTACTACTATTCTTACTCGTTATCGTATTAGTTAGAGAATAAAAAAATATTACTGGGATGAATAGTCATTCGTTAAATTAAAGATCCGTAATAGTACGAGTTGAGGCCAACCATTGTTGCGGACGTAGGTTGTCGCAATCTCGCAGATATTCTTAAGAAATTATTTATTGTCTCTGATTTCCATCACAGCTTCAGCTAGTACATGTATTGGGTTGATTTTATTGCCAATTTTTTATCTAATGCTGGTTGCTCGAGATAACAAATCTTCAATGTACCCAATGCTGGTGTGCAGACAGGGAGAATGATCCATAACTTTCACACTTGCACAACGATACATCTATACTTACTTACTAAAGCTAAAAAGTTGGTTTTGTTGAACGCGCTAATCTCAGGAACTACTGGTCCGATTTGATAAATTCTTTGTGTTAGATAGTGTATCGGGGGAGGCTATATAATATGAAGCTACGAGTAGTAGGATCAGGGTACCAATGGAAAATGTTGAGAAAACGTGTGAGCGTCCGAGGCATGCGTATGATGGTATTGTTCCCCTTTAAAAGGTCTATAAAAAAAGTCCGCGACAACATAATACGTTTATTTTTTAAGGGTGACTGACTCTAACCTTTTTCCTCAAATTAATGCGGGTGAAACCGCAGGCCACCTCTGATGGGTCATAAAATAACTGAAGAAATTTTAAAATACTTCTGTAAGAAGTGGTCATTTATAAAGAAACAGTGTGATTGCTATCTTCGCAGTATGACTTTGGTGCCTTGATTTCCAGCCACGAGCAAACTTATGAACACTAAAAAAAAGAAGTTGCGCTTACGCCAACCTGGCCTCGTCGCGACACCTGCATTTGAAGAATTATTAATATGCGTTGTATTCTTGTACTGTGCTAAAGTGGCTGAAATTGTGACGACATCTCATAAATGAAACATGCCAGCGATCCACTTGGGAGTATCTATACATATAATAAAATGGTAGGAAAGTCAAAACTGTACATTGAATATTTTTTTAAAAGAATACTTGGGGTGTGATCTACAATCGTTACCGAAGCCAAAAATATAGTTTTTAGAATTTTTGTCTGCTTGTCTGTATGTATGCCCGGGAAAAACTCAAAAATTACTGCACGGATTTACTTCAAATTTGGCACGCATGTTATTAAGAAGTCGGGTCAACATATAGGCTACATATTATCACGCTAAAACCTACGGGGAACGAGCAGTGAACAGGGGCAAAAAGTATGTGCAAATAACTAACTCCACAAGTACGAAGTCGCGGACGGCCGCTAGTTTTGTATAAAACAAAAGCTCGCTTTGAATATTGTTTTATGAAATTTCATTAAACCAACATATAAAAACGTAACGTAATAACACGAAAAAAACGTAATAATAATAAAAACAGAATTTACTCGAAATAAAGTATAGTTTCTTTTGATACAAGGTACAACCTGATTTGTCAGTAAGTGGGGCCAAGATGCGAAGAATATTGATATTATGACAAATAAATGTGTTACACATTTTATCTTGGCTCCACTTAGATAAGTTCGAGAAGGCACATAATGTGCCTTCTAAAACTTACTGACCTGAACCCAGTTCCATACTGTGGAGTATGGAACTCCTGCTCTCTATGGAGTAACTTACTGAACAACAGCAAAGCAAAACTGCCAAGTCAAGGTTTTTCTTCATACAAGGTATCTACAACCTAATGTAAAGAGTAAAATGGAGTCAAGTTGCGAAGGCGCAAAGGTGATATGGCAGTAAAAATTGTCTTCTCGATCTTGCCGAACTGACTGTATCCAATTCTATACTCCGCAGATACCTAACTAAATAAGGCAGTCTTATTTAACTGTGTTCTTCAGTTAAGTTATGGGTTACTTTGCCAGACAGCCGCTACAATTAGAGCGGGCGGGTTTTAGCCCATGCATTAACTAGTATAGTAGAGCAAATATTCAAATCCGTTTGACAGTCGTCTGTGTATGATTTAGCTTTATTTAAAAATTTGTAGCATTAGAAACAATTGGTCAAAAATTGCGTTTGTAATATCAAGAGTACTTATCGCTCTCGTGGTACTCCCGTGGCCTATTCAGGCCATTAATAACAATAGTTATTTATTATACAAGAGTGGAAAGTTCCTTTTTAACCGCGTGCTCGATTTGGATGACCGAGCAAGCGAAGGATTCTAAAGTTGAATCACGAGCGCAGCGAGTGATTCTAAATTAGAATCCTGAGCGTCAGCGAGGGAAACAAACGAGCACAAGGTGAAAAATCTTTCCACTCGAGTGCAATACGTAACTTTTCATCCCACCTCAGCGAGGAAATGACAAAATGAAAAAGAAAACAATTTATAATGACAAAATATTTTTATTTCAATTAAAACACATTAAGATAATCTATAAATTGAAGAAAATAATAAGAAGTAGAAAATAATTAAGAAATATTAAATGTAACGTTGCTACAGTTACTTATGTTAAGTTTAATATTTTTGTTAGGTAATGTTATGTTGGTGTTTGTGAATTGTGCGCTGTTTTGTGGTAAACTACTCGTATCAGTAATTTTAAATAGTTGTGCCGATTCATTGGATTCTATTGGCGTAAATGTTGGCGAAAGAGGGCTATTGTTTCCAATCTTATGGGGGCTCATTTTAGATGTAGAAGGGCGAGACCAAGAATCTGACAGAGGTTCTTTCAGCGTTATGGCCTCCACGATACTATTACAAATTTTTGATTTACTTTGGATTGAATCCTCTATGTATCCCTCTACAACCGAATTAGACTTCCAGCCTCCATGGCGCTTAAGCGATAGAAGATCAGCCCCTGATTCGGCCAAAAGTGTGGCTGAGGTTCTTCTAAAACAGTGACCGGTGTATAACGGGGGTTCTAAAAGTCCGAGAAAAGTTGCTATTTCTCGTGGAATACTGCCAATTTTATTCTGACCCATAGGTTGTCGGATACACTTTCCGTTGCGATATTGTAGAAAAAATCGTTCAATTGGGGTGTTAGAAGGACGTAAAGCTTGATATTTCTGAACAATGTTTACATATTCCTTGCGAATAACGAAGTTGCGGTCTTTTTTTGTCTTGGTATTTAGTACATTAATTAATAGCAATTCATCAGAATTATGAGAATATTTTGATACGTTATTGACATTAAGTAGTGTAAGTTCATTTGTTCGACATGCTCCGGTTATACCAATAATAAGAACAACCTGTAACAAAAGAAGTATTTATAATCGTAAATAAATTAATCAAATTAAAAATATTGTAAGTACTATGTACAATTTTATCAACAACAAAAAATTACACGTATTGACTTACTTTTGCCGCTAAATATACGGAATCAGGTGCTTCATTAATAAACTTTGCAATTTCAGATGCTGTGAAAACCTTCGATTTTTTTGGTTTATAACCAGATGAGGCTCTTTTTAAAAATGCCACTAATTTATGATAGGTGTCGATATGAACGTCTTTCTTCATCTTAATTGTTAATTTTAGCATTGAATACGTACTCCATAGCGTGCTTGCTTTCTTGGTCTCAGATAATTCTATAAAATATGCCAGCAAAACGTTTTTGGAGAAAGTTTTTGCTCCTTTAGCTAGTCGCCACATGTTAAATATATCGTACTGTTTCAAATACTTCTCTCGTGATTGCTGAGGGAGAAGGCTCATTTGCGCATTATTAACTGTTTCAGTTAACTCAGTTGGCGTTAGATAAACTTCATCGTCGCTAATGTCACTCATTTTAGTTGATTTTTTTGTACAGTTTTTAGGTTATGTTAATTATATTAAGCAATAAAACGTGAAAAACTAGAATGGCGCGAAGCACGCAAATAAAACAAAGAAACCAAGAAGGTTCCAAATTTAAATTTTTTCACAATTTAAAAAGTTCTAATCATAAATTTGGCACCATAGAGGTTACATTAAATAGGTTTAATGACGTTTTGAATTTACAATTATATTGAGTACTCATTATATGTGATGTTCTAAATTCAAATCTACTTTGCCGCTCAAGCGAATAAAATAGAATTTTCCAGCCAGATTTCGAAGCGCAAAATTACACTTTCCGAGGTGGTGGGATGAAATAGTTATTTATTATACAAGAGTGGAAAGTTCCTTTTTAACCGCGTGCTCGATTTGGATGACCGAGCAAGCGAAGGATTCTAAAGTTGAATCACGAGCGCAGCGAGTGATTCTAAATTAGAATCCTGAGCGTCAGCGAGGGAAACAAACGAGCACAAGGTGAAAAATCTTTCCACTCGAGTGCAATACGTAACTTTTCATCCCACCTCAGCGAGGAAATGACAAAATGAAAAAGAAAACAATTTATAATGACAAAATATTTTTATTTCAATTAAAACACATTAAGATAATCTATAAATTGAAGAAAATAATAAGAAGTAGAAAATAATTAAGAAATATTAAATGTAACGTTGCTACAGTTACTTATGTTAAGTTTAATATTTTTGTTAGGTAATGTTATGTTGGTGTTTGTGAATTGTGCGCTGTTTTGTGGTAAACTACTCGTATCAGTAATTTTAAATAGTTGTGCCGATTCATTGGATTCTATTGGCGTAAATGTTGGCGAGAGAGGGCTATTGTTTCCAATCTTATGGGGGCTCATTTTAGATGTAGAAGGGCGAGACCAAGAATCTGACAGAGGTTCTTTCAGCGTTATGGCCTCCACGATACTATTACAAATTTTTGATTTACTTTGGATTGAATCCTCTATGTATCCCTCTACAACCGAATTAGACTTCCAGCCTCCATGGCGCTTAAGCGATAGAAGATCAGCCCCTGATTCGGCCAAAAGTGTGGCTGAGGTTCTTCTAAAACAGTGACCGGTGTATAACGGGGGTTCTAAAAGTCCGAGAAAAGTTGCTATTTCTCGTGGAATACTGCCAATTTTATTCTGACCCATAGGTTGTCGGATACACTTTCCGTTGCGATATTGTAGAAAAAATCGTTCAATTGGGGTGTTAGAAGGACGTAAAGCTTGATATTTCTGAACAATGTTTACATATTCCTTGCGAATAACGAAGTTGCGGTCTTTTTTTGTCTTGGTATTTAGTACATTAATTAATAGCAATTCATCAGAATTATGAGAATATTTTGATACGTTATTGACATTAAGTAGTGTAAGTTCATTTGTTCGACATGCTCCGGTTATACCAATAATAAGAACAACCTGTAACAAAAGAAGTATTTATAATCGTAAATAAATTAATCAAATTAAAAATATTGTAAGTACTATGTACAATTTTATCAACAACAAAAAATTACACGTATTGACTTACTTTTGCCGCTAAATATACGGAATCAGGTGCTTCATTAATAAACTTTGCAATTTCAGATGCTGTGAAAACCTTCGATTTTTTTGGTTTATAACCAGATGAGGCTCTTTTTAAAAATGCCACTAATTTATGATAGGTGTCGATATGAACGTCTTTCTTCATCTTAATTGTTAATTTTAGCATTGAATACGTACTCCATAGCGTGCTTGCTTTCTTGGTCTCAGATAATTCTATAAAATATGCCAGCAAAACGTTTTTGGAGAAAGTTTTTGCTCCTTTAGCTAGTCGCCACATGTTAAATATATCGTACTGTTTCAAATACTTCTCTCGTGATTGCTGAGGGAGAAGGCTCATTTGCGCATTATTAACTGTTTCAGTTAACTCAGTTGGCGTTAGATAAACTTCATCGTCGCTAATGTCACTCATTTTAGTTGATTTTTTTGTACAGTTTTTAGGTTATGTTAATTATATTAAGCAATAAAACGTGAAAAACTAGAATGGCGCGAAGCACGCAAATAAAACAAAGAAACCAAGAAGGTTCCAAATTTAAATTTTTTCACAATTTAAAAAGTTCTAATCATAAATTTGGCACCATAGAGGTTACATTAAATAGGTTTAATGACGTTTTGAATTTACAATTATATTGAGTACTCATTATATGTGATGTTCTAAATTCAAATCTACTTTGCCGCTCAAGCGAATAAAATAGAATTTTCCAGCCAGATTTCGAAGCGCAAAATTACACTTTCCGAGGTGGTGGGATGAAAAAAATATTGAGGGATGTACATCATGTTGGGTTGTATATATAGTTATTCTTGCCAAATTGGCAAGAATAACTATTACGTGGAACATGAAATATAAAAATATTAATGAACTTTATTATAAAGAAAATATAACTAGAAAAAAATCCACGCGGACCAGGCAGCAGACGGGACTCGAATCCGCACCCTTCGCTATCCGGGCGAATGCACTGAGCATCTCATCATCATCATTCCGCGTGGATTTTTTTCTAGTTATATTTTCTTTAGATTACAACATCAAGCACTTACATGCTTAAAAAATAAAAATTAGAACTTTGTTATGTTTTTTTTTTTAAGTTTTGAACCTAAAAGATTAGAAAGAATGCATATTGCTATTATTCCGCTGTTTGTCAGCGTGATAGTATGAACCATAATAGGTAAACAATACACGATTGAATGTATATTTTCTATTGCTGCTATAACTACAATTAACAAAAATCGAATATACAAATAAAGGGGTTTCCCATACATGAAACTAGATTTACGACATATTCTCTTAACTGTTCTTTAATACCTAATAAACTCTTTCGGTTCACAGGTTGAGGTGGTGATCCTAGACAAGAATGACTCCCCGCCAGAGTTCAAGAACATACCACCAAGCTACATGGTTTCTGAGGACCTCGCACCAGGCCAACTTATAGCTACCATCACCGCTGAAGACCCAGACACTATAGGGACATTGACCTATAGCATACAGAACGATGAGCCCACTCCATTCACTCTGGATTCACAAACGGGTGAATTGACTCTCAGTGATCCCTTAGATAGGGAAACCACAGCCGCATATCAGGTCACAGTAAGAGCCGACGATGGTATGCAATACACGGATGTTACGATAATCGTGCAGGTTAGTACAATCTTTAAACAGTTTTAAATTTAGTCATGTGTCTTAGGAACAAAATTTGGTAGTAATATTTAAACTGACACTTGACGTCTCAAGTGTACAGTTGTGCTAAAAATGTTTTGGCGCGATTACATTTTGTCGTTAGCCTGAATTCGGGTAAACGACTAAGTGTAAATGAACGCTGTCGAATACGTATTCGGGTACTTTTCTTTTGTTTACCCTACACCGTGTTCCAGCCAGTATTTCAGTGTCAACATTGCTTCAGGTGACCGAATTCGAGTAACCTCTTTCGTGTACTCGAATACCGGCTAACGGCCAAATGTAATTGAGCCATTGTCTCACATGGATATTCATCGAATATTGTTCCTTTTTAATCTTCATCAAATCTTCTAAGCTGGTTTAAGTTTATTAGCTTGTTGAGAGTTATTATGGTTGACGATAAGAGAAAAATATGAGAAAAAATATTGTTGAGTTGCGGTGGGGTCTTAACACACAAATAAAAAAAAAATTGAATCTTCTTTATATACATATATCTCCTCTGTGTGTGTGAGAGATTGAACTCCTAAACGGTTCGTCAATTTTGATAATATTCTTTATGGGAATTTGAGTTTGGTTAAGATTCACAACTGTCGCGTCCACTGATATAAGATTAAGTTTATGGGAATTGCATGAAACAAGAAGGTCTGGCGGCCATATAATTTAATGAACACTAAGAATTATTTTATGTATATACAGAATGTAAAAGATCACGTAGTTTTCACATCATGATGATAACTTTTTTCTTCTGGACCAAACCTGGGAATTTTTTGTTTATGGAGATATTGAAGGTCAAGGTCACAATTTTCTTTTCAAGATTTATACATTAATATTTTCAAAACGTTATTTAGAAACTTTTTTATCGACGCACTTACACACACGCACACACATACACACAGGCACATTCTTTGCGTACCACAGTAGCGCAAACTACAAATGTTTCCCACGTATAATAATTTTTAATATTACTTGTTTGGATGTGCAGAATGCGTAGTTTTGGTCTTTGTCATTGGTTTAGTTAGGAACAGATGTTTGTAACAAATATGTATGCGAGTGTACAGATACCGAAGTAGTTATCAGCGTCTCGCTCCGTTGATTTTGATCTGTCGGGCTTCGTCTAACCAAATCTATTTCTGCCTGTCACTTCGACGAGTAACAGGCTTTGTTGAACATTCTTCTAACTTAAATTTGATTCTAAGATAACGATAGTTTTGTTAGACCATATTTATTTTACACTGGCTTTTGCCTGCGGCTTTTACCTGCGGCTTTTCTCGCTGTTTTAGGGATTTCCCGGCAATTTTTCGAATTTTTCTCACCTTTTAAACTTTCCCTAGACCTCCAAGAACATTTCAAGACCAAGATAAGTAAATCCGTTCAACTGTTCTCGAGTTTCAGCGAGACTAACGAACAGCAATTGATTTTTATATATATATATAGATTACAAGAAATGGCTATTTTATATAAATACGAGTATATGCCCTTCCGTTACTATTTAGTTCGAGTCAGTATGATCTATAGGATAAAGGTGCTGATAACTGAAAATTATTCAGTTGACAATTGTTTAGCCAAACAGACATTATAGGAGAATAATTGTCAATTGAATAATTTTCTTAATCACTATACCTCGTCTAATTTTAATATTCAAATATGTTTTAAAGTTATGAGAAACCAATAAATTTAATTGAACATGGATTCATCGTCAGCCTAATAATATCTCTACTGCAGGGGCACAGGCCTTCGCTATGCCCCTATGGTTCGAATAGGGAGATCGCGCCATCACCCACCACGCAGGCCCAGTGCGGATTGGTGGTTGCTAATGACTGCAGATGCAGCCGGAACCAACGGCTTAACGTACCTTCCGAAGCACGGAATAACTCGAGATAATAAATTTTTTGTCACCCATCCAATGAGAAACTACTGCGAAAGTTGCTTAGCTTAGCAGCCGAGCGCGCTAACTACTTGCGCCATCGAGCTCCGAGCGAACATGGATACTATATAGGAATTCTATAAGCATAAAGAGAAAGAATTATTGTGAACTTCGCATGAGTCTTTGTAGTCATAAAGTCAGTCATAAAAATAACATAATTTCTGTATTATAAAAACTATAGTTGTCTTATCTTACTTATCCGTTCAATGTATCATCATCATCATAGCCTATTAATGTCCCCACTGCTGGGGCACACACTGCTGTGCTTCGGAAAGCACGTTAAGCCGTTAGTCCCGGCTGCATCTGCAGTCGTTAGCACCCGCCAATCCGCACTGGGCCCTCGTGGTGGGTCAGGCCCAATCTCCCTATTCCATCCATAGGGAAGGCCTGTTCAATGTATGTTAGGTATAAATATAAAACGTATAGCCCAATTATTTTATCGTGCTACGTATCGAGTAAACTTCTTATGAGACTTTGTAGTATATAATAAACTTAATTCCTGTATTATAAAAAAACACAAACGACTTATCTTAAATATCCGTCAAATGTGAGGTAAGCATATTGGTAATTGGTACAACCACAAGGCAGAAACCATTAAGTTAACCAATGTTACTCCAGTTTTGAGTAAAACATTTACAAATAAATATATTATTATGTTTCCAGGTAACGGACACGAATGATAATCCACCAGTTTTCAAGGAAAGTGCGTACTCCTTCGACATTCCCGAGAACGCCGCCAGGGGTTCCGTTGTTGGGACTGTGGCCGCTATAGACTTGGACTCGGGTCCCAACGCTCAGCTGACGTACACCGTCATCTCGGATTGGGCGAATGACGTGTTTTCACTGAACCCACAAACCGGCATCTTCACACTAACGGCCAGGCTAGACTACGAAGAGGTAAGAATTTACTCGACTGCTTTGGTAGGCAATAGAATAAAACAGTAAGCTCTTACTTTAGAGTTGCAAACGACTTTCTTAGTAACTGAAATCAACAGTTATACGGCTTACAGTTAGCATGATTTCAAAGAAAAAAATTTTGGACAACACATCGGAAGTGAAAAGTCTTTGTTAACATAAGGCGGTGAATAAGGCATAGGGGAATGGAGCAGTGCACGCATTACTCATATAATATATAGTCGCGTGTGACGCTCGTGACGCTCGTAGCGTTTCAGCTTTCGCCGAGTTACCCTCCAACTGTCTTACGCGTCGGGAAGAGCTGCGCACGCATGCCACATACACACACATTTACATATATATATATATATATATATAAATGTGTGATGTAAATGTGTGTGTATGTGGCATGCGTGCGCATACATATAAATAGAATTATTCCATTTACGCAAAGTCCGAAAGAAGTTTCACTAAAAAAACCTTTTAAGGACTGACTTGAGTTTTAAAAAACTATCCTAGTTAGCCTTACAGCATTTTCAAACCAATCGCACTGACCGCCACTGCGCCATAGGGTCTCTATGGTGCAGTGGTCAGTGCGACCAAGAAAAAGTTACATATTTTTTTATGATGATGTTTTCTTTATTTATTATTTTCATCGGGTTCATATTAAGGTGCAGGCTACTTAACTATGGTTAGACTTATGATGACGACTTAAAAACATTTCATAAAATTACAAATGTTAGTAGTAAAAAAAGTTTGAAAAGGATCAAAATAAATGATTTAACGCCTTGGTTTTACTTAGTCGGTAGGTACTAAAAGTACATGTGCAGGATGTAGGTGTGCGGGACTGCGGGTACGTTCGGAGCCGCAAAACTTGACAAGAACTCGTAAAGTTGTGCGACATCCTCGTAAAAACGACAGAAACGCGCAATTAAAAACACTTTAAATAGATTAAGCGATTACCGAGGCGAATAATTACGATAAAAAGAACACGACGAGGTTACCCTCCGTGGCATATTCATTGGGAACCGAAAAACATTTAAATAGTTAATTTGCAAGTGAACATTTATTTAAGGTCCCTTTCGTGCGTTAAATTAATTAAAATAAGGAGACTTGATTGATTTCATGTCTGTTTTTGTATTGTACGCCTATAAATAAAGTGCCTGTGTACCTATTATATCGCTTCAACTTTCAAGTAAGTACAAGTTGGATAGCTAAAAGTAAATGATAAATAATGTCGAAATAAAACTTTGCTTTTTTCTGAAAAATATGTTAAAGAAAGGAATATGTATACATTATAAGTATTTAAGAAGTAGGTACAGACTGAATTATCGTACAATTAATTAATGAAAAAATTATAAATAATGAATGGCTTTAATGAAAAAGTCTTACTGTAATTACTTTACTTTATATTCTCATAACTTTTAAAACCGGAGTAGCGCAGAATTAACTCGGCTAAACGTTCGTGAAATACCCATGAGAATAGTCAAATGCATTTCAAAAAAATATGCTGGAATTACTTTTAGTGGGGGCATAATATCTGTGTCCGAGATGGCGACCGCTCGCGGGCATACATTGCGGTTGAAAGAATTATCTCAGCATAGATCTCGGGCCGGCCAATGACCCGCGTGATCCACTAAACATCCACCAAATAGGTACAATGAGGCTATTAATAACGTTGGTAGTTATTGTTGACTTTTACAGCCTTGTTGTTCATATAACTATTGGTAAATTTATACATGTTAATCGTGAGATCGGTATAATTACAATGTGTAGCTACCTACTTATTATGTATATTACAGTCATTATCAATATTGATTCTAAGTTATAAGCCAAATTATACGTTTTTATAATATCTCTTGCATAAATAGTTTCCTTATGCTGAAAGTTTTTATCATATTTTTTTTAATTTAAAATAAAATTTATTCCGTATTATTAGCAAATTCACGAAACCTTAGTTGAAAAAAAAATATTAACTATTTTAGTAACAAAATAATTGTTTGTCTTTATATGACATTTTAGTTCTTTTTTCAATTATAAATAAATTACTTACGGTCGACCATGGTGTATCATTTTCAATAGGCAAAAAAATATGTGGCTAATATTCTAGCTTTCTGTTTAAAATTTTACAAGTTATAAGCAAGAGGACCAAACAAAGTTCCTTCGGAAATGCCAACGGTGGCCCTGAGCAAGTTTTAATGAAACACTACCGCTTCAAAAGGCTTATAGACGTTTACATCAGAAAAAAACTCGTTCCAGCTCTTGTTGTATGCAGATTAAATTTATAATCGCCCTTCCTATAAAAAGGTTGAGATGAACATATACAAAATAGTTCGAAGTTTAAGCTTTACTTTTTTTTATCAGGATCTATGAACGAAATGCATATTCTTACCTAAAACAGCCCTATTCAAGGCAAATACATTGCAGCAGGCATGCGAATTAATTTATTATTCTTAGGGATATGTTTTCATAAGTTCCCAAAAAGAAAAAACATTAAAATACCAAATGCAACATGATAATGTTTAAAAAGTGCATGACTACTATTTATAAGCAAAACATTAACCTTAAACACATATACTGATGTAGTAAACAAAATAATTAGTGAGTAATTAAAATTGCAGAAAGAAATCCTGCTTCGATAAAAAATCAGAGCAAGTAGAATTAGTAGATGGGAAATCGTCGCCATACTGAAGTCATAAGGGCGGGGTTTGGATGGCTCATCAAGTCGGCCAGCCCTTCTAATTAGTAAAAACAATTCGCTCCGTACGTTCGTTTTCTCGACCGCCCGCCAATTCCGCGTACCCCGCTAGAGAGCTGCTAATTTCATACCGGTATAGTTTTTTCGCGTCGGGCATCATATTCGGCATTTGCCCACTGTATCTGCCGTCGAAATTAAGGCCCGAACAATGTCGGACAAAGCGACCGTCCACAAAACATACCCGGGCCGGATTCCGCGACCGCTGCCCATTTTTTTAAAACCGTCTGCTCGCCTTACGATTCGCGAATGAGAGAGCTTGTCATAGCTAGAAGGCCTGGAAGTCCTATTATATGGAAAATCTGAATGCCTGCTCGGTTCGTAAAATATTACGGTCGCACTCAAAGCAAGCATTGTTTCAGACATGTTTACTATGCTTTGAAATGTTGATTACTCAGGGTGTAATTATCCTTTTCAGTATTTGGTGGATTTCTATGGAAACCTTACGAAAATTATAGGTCTCTACACTATTTAGTTACTACTACCTTGTTACTACTATTAGTTATATAATAGACTCCTATTTATGTTAACTGCTTGCTAAAGAATTATTAATGTAGCAACATAGTAATATTTTATAATTGCACAATCAAAATAAAATATACTGAGTAAAAAAATACCAATCTAAAAATATTTTTGCACTACTTTCTCGATATTTTTACTTTCTTGTCATTTCCAAAATACCTCACGATATCGTTGCACTGGCAGGCGCTTTTCAAAACTATGTTAAAAAGTACCTTTATATCATAATTTAAATAAACTTAAGCTATTAGTAGCAATATTAAGAATCTTATTTATATCTCAAATGAACTGATTTAAATTTATTAATTTCATTGCTATAATACAGATAAATAGAAACAATAAACGAGTGAGCCTTACAGTAGTCGCGTATGATGTATAACATTTGAAATCTCACCTTATATATTAGTAAAAATAGAAATAAAACCTACTACAAAAGGAATAAGCCATTTGACATTATATGTTCTAAAATCAAATCAAAATCACTCTCACAAATTGCAGGAAAGCGAGAGTAAAGATGTTACACATCAATTAAAATAAATAAGTGAAAATAAATGTATTCATTTCGTCATTGATTACAGACGCAGCATTACATCCTGGTTGCGCAGGCTCACGACAACGGCCGGCCCTCATTGTCAGGCACGGTCACCGTGTATGTGAACGTTATAGATCTGAACGACAACGCTCCCATCTTTGATCCCATGAGTTTCTCTAACGAGATTCCGGAGGACATCGCTATCGGTTCTTCAGTAGTAACTATTAGTGCCACGGATATGGATTCCGGTAAGTCAATTTAATTATTTAACTAGCGGTAGCTCACGATTGAGAATCCTCCAGAAACCTACAATTTTTAGGAATAAATTGTATCCCATGTGCCAAATTTCATCTGAATCCGTTCAGCGATTTTAGCATGATTAAGATACATACATTCAAACTTTCACATTTTTCTATGGATGGAATAGAGGGAGATTGGGACCAAAACGTGCTTTCCGAAGCATGGAGGTGCTTGAGATATAAGTTTTTAGTACCCAATTACCGGCTATTACAAAAGTTGCTTAATTTTCACGATCGCAGACCGAACGCGCTATTCACCTGCGTATTTATTAATGTGATTTAGTTACCGGTAGAGCATTTAGACTTTTTACTTTTTTGTAAAGGAATTCAAAACGTCTACTATACTTTGATGATACGCTTTAAAAACTTTATTGTATCAAATCGTAGTACAAATTTACAGCGTGACACAATATTTTTTATACAATGTCATCCAACTTTAAATACTATGTGTAAACTTAAACTCGAAAACAATTATCAGTTTAAAATGCTTTACTATGAAATTGTTACTCACAAATAATGCTATATGAACCTTTAATCATCAAACACGTTTGATGATTGAAGGTGATAGGTAACTAATCAACAAATAATTTTAAGACAACAATTACCTCAAACTTGCTTCACCTCAACAAAGAGATTAAAATAGATCCGGATAATTAATTGATGTTAGGAACTGAATGAATATTGTAGTATACGCACTTCAAATTTGTTTTTTTGTTTTAAGAAACGCTTAACTACGATATTATATAATATCTCTTAATTTCAGGATTAAATGGCAAGTTGACATACAGTCTTACGTCTGGAGATGATTCCCACGATTTCAGAATCGATAATAACGGTACAATATTCAGTATGAAGATGTTGGACAGGGAAACGGTGCCAGTATATAATTTAATTGTAACAGCAAAAGATTCTGCAAAACCTCCGGAACCTCAACTATCATCGACAGTTCAGGTAAATTACTTCATATTTTTAATTGGAATATACCGAATAACAATATACAAATACCAATAAAAAAGGGATGCATCGATATTTCCCTTTTTTTATATAGTTAGTTGGTAAAACTTTGTTTTGTCATTGGTTCGCGAAATAGTCGGGTGCGGCAGGAATGTGCTGCAAAGTAGTGCTACTTCGACCAATTTCGTACGAAGAACTTGTTATTTATTCAAATGCTTTAATTATTATTTGTTATTTCATAACAAATGTTTCTATATAATACAAAGTTACCCTATGCAAAACGGGGTTAATTATCTTAATTAATTATCTTCGGTAATTAAATAAAAATGGAAAATATTTAAATGATCCTAGAAAAGTAGTAAATGATCACCATAATCGTTTTTTTTGCGTATCATTTAACCATTATCCAATAAAAAATTACATCTTCCTTACGGAAACATCCGCTAAATTTGCTGTGCTAATTTAAAAAAAATGGATACGTGTAACTTATGTACGCGCGTGAGAAGTTATACTTCTTTAGCATCATTAAAAATATTTTTTAATTGCATGCAAATAATTAATAATTACAATAAAATAATAAAAGGACTGGAAAAGGATAGTTAACACAGTCAATTAAGTTCAGTTTTAATTTGAAAAATTAAATAAATATTCAAAATATTCAATTAAAATCACTACTGAATTTAAGTTATTAGTCCATATGTAATTAGCACTTGTAAGTAACTAAAACACGTTGTGTCTATATAGAAACTAGAAACATGTGGATAAATATTATAAATATGAAAACAGTGATCAGAGGCGACGAGCGTGCCAACATTGTTTTTGACAACGCGATCATCTTATGGAGCTCCGTGGATCGTTCAAAGTACCTTTCGAACAGATGTCTAATAATGGTGGATTATTAACCACTAAGTGGTTAATAATCCACCATTATTAGACACTAACATTCATAACGCGCCCGCGGCCAACTTCATGGTGTTACTATTGTGTTACAGTGATGCGCGCGCATCTCGAAATTTCACTCACATGATTTTTTCATAACGCGCCCGCGGCCAACTTCATGCTGTTACTTTTGGGTTACAGTGATGCGCGCGCATCTAAAAATTTCACTCTCATCATTTTTTCATAACGCGCCTAAAGAAGTATAACTTCAAAAATAATGCCAAATGATGTGGTTGAGGTACTTTGGTGATGGAAAAAATGTTTTTTGATTTATTTGTATTTCAATGTTTATTCTTTACGTTTACCTCACTACAAACGCAATAGATGCATTACCTATCGCAACCCGCAAATATAATGATGTCAACGTGTTTTACCGCTTTAATAGTCTGTACAGTTTTTATTTAAACTTTATTTTTATTGCATTCAAGGTGACAATACAACTTAAGGACGTAAATGATATGGCTCCAGAGTTCGTTTCACCAAATGTCACTTCTGTATCAGAAAATATTCCATTAAACACAGTCGTGATGACAATTAAAGCTATTGACAAAGACGAAGGGCGTAATGGATATGTTGAATACTTTATGAGTCCAGATCCAGAAATAAATGGATACTTTTCATTGGGAAATGTTGATGGGATTTTACGAGCTACTGGAAAGTTAGATAGAGAATTGAGATCGAGCTATACAATAACAGTCACTGCCAAAGACAGAGGTGACCCACCAAATATAACGAGAACCAAAATTTTTATAAATATTCTTGATGAAAATGATAACAGTCCAGTATTTGATCCGAAGCAGTACAGTGCTTCTGTCCCAGAAAATGCTAGTATTGGTGCAAGCGTTTTACAGGTAAATACTTGTGGTTTAATTAGTAACTACGTCCCTGAGAAAAGAAATAATACTTAAGTTTCAACTATTCAAACCTTACAAATTAATTACAATCATATTTTGAACTTAATCGTGTATAATCATTTCAATACAATTTTTATCTTGAAAGATGACGAATAAATTTGTCTACCATCTAATATAATTTAATGTACTAATGTGGATGAACCTATTTGTCTTATGTTAGCACATATAAGTTATAAATGTTTTTTTTTTAATTTCAGGTATCAGCAACAGATATAGACGAAGATATTAACGGTCGCGTGAGATATGCGATAGCTTCAGGAGATGAAAATAGAGACTTTGGTATAAGTGAAGATACAGGAATCGTGAGAGTGGCCAAAAATTTAAATTTTGAACGAAAATCACGTTATATCCTAACTATCAGGGCTGAAGATAGTGCCAAAGATGATGTTAAATTTGATACAGCTGAAATTTCAATTTCAATTCAAGATATAAATGACAACCCACCCACGTTCCTTGATTCACCATACTTAGCATACGTAATGGAAAATGTGATCCCTCCCAATAGCGGCTACATAATAACAGTTCATGCTTATGATGCAGATTCGCCTCCATTTAATAATCAAGTACGCTATTTCATAAAAGAAGGCGATGCCGACTTGTTTAAAATTAATGCTTCCTCTGGTCAAATTTCCTTACTACGCACATTGGACAGAGAAGCCCAAGATGAATATACACTTTCAGTAGTTGCAATGGATACAGGTAAAAAAAATACCTTACATTCTTCATTTCCTTTTTACTTTTTATTAAGTAATTATAAACAACACCACTTTCTTCAAATTATTATCAAAAAAATGAGAACTTTTCTTACAATAATTGTTTCATGAAGTGCTGTTCCTAGTGGTATTTATTTCCTGCTGCAATCTTTTTCAGACAACTAAATTATCTCGTAAAACTATACATTTGTATTCTGAAGAACTCTTTAAATTTTCTTACTTATGCAAGCTTATACTGGTGGTGACAAATAAAAATAATATTTATTATAATTACAGGTTCACCACCTCTTACGGGTTCCGGAACAGTTAAAATAGTGGTTCAAGATGTTAACGATAACAGCCCAGAGTTCGAAAGACAAAGTTACAAAGCTACCTTAAAAGAGAATTTACCTCAAGGTACATATGTTTTACATCCAAAGGCATTTGACAAAGATTTGGGTAATAATGCAAAAATCAGATATAGCCTTCTTGGAGATAAATCAGAAAATTTTGCAATAGACTCTACCTCAGGAATTATTGTATCAAATGCTACCTTAGATAGAGAAGAGTGGGATACCTATTATTTAATCGTAATGGCTCAAGATTCATCAACTACAGATCCAAGAACTGCTACTGCTAATCTCACTATTTCAATTGAAGATGAAAATGATAACTTTCCCACTTTCTCTAAACCAATTTATGAAACTCATATTTCTGAGCATACTTTGAAAGGTGATTTTGTATTTGGTGTTAAAGCTAAAGATAATGATATTGGCTTGAATAAGAAAATTGTTTATGATTTAAAAGGTGAACACCAAGACTTATTTAGTATAAACAAAGAAACAGGAGTCATAAAAGCAAGGGATAATATTATTAAATATGTCGGAAAAACAGAATCTACTTTTAATTTAATAATCATAGCTACAGATTGTGGATTATTGCCGAAACACAGTCAAGCGGAACTTATTCTCATTCCTAAATCTGTAAAAAACTTTCCGAAATTTACAATTTCAAATAAACTTAGTTTCACTTTTTCGGAAGATACACCAGAAGGTGTATTGGTGACAAGATTATCAGCAACATCTCCGAAGAAAGGGCCTGTTGGGTTATTACAATATGCTGTTGCGGGTGGAAATATAGGCGATGCTTTACGTGTAGAACCAATCAGCGGTGAAGTGTTTATTACTGGGAAGGGTTTAGACTATGAAACTATGCCCCTTTATGAAGTATGGTTTGAAGTTAGAGATTCTGATAGTCCGCCATTGAAATCATTTATTGAAGTTGAAATTAAAGTTACAGATGCTAACGATAACGCACCAATCATAGTGAATCCTTTGTATAATGCAACTGTTATGGAGGAAGAATCTCCACCTCAATTAGTGATTAAAATAGATGCTCATGATGAAGATTCAAACGAAAACGGAAGGATTTCATACAAACTCGTAAATGACTATGAAGAAACATTTAGAATAGACCCAGATACAGGAGAAATATTTACTAACATTGCATTAGATAGAGAATCCATACCATTTTATGAAATACCTGTAGAAGCCACTGACCATGGAGCGCCGCAATTAACGGGCTCAAGTGTAGTAATTGTTACGGTTTTAGACAAAAATGATAATCCACCCAGATTTACTAGATTATTTAGCGTCAATGTAACAGAAAATTCAGATATAGGCTCATTTGTGATAAGAGTTACAAGTTCAGATTTGGATATTGGTCCAAATGCAAATGCTACATATAGTTTTGTCGAAAATCCAGGCGAAAAATTTGTTATTGATACAATCAGCGGTAATGTGACAGTTGCCCGTCCTTTGGATCGAGAACTTCAAGATGAATACATTTTAAAAGTTGCAGCCATTGATGGTGCTTGGCGTTCAGAAACTCCACTGACAATAACAATCCAGGACCAAAACGATAATGCGCCCGAATTCGAATACTCTTACTACAGTTTTAATTTTCCAGAACTACAACAAAAGAATAGCTTTGTTGGACAAGTTATAGCTACTGATAGAGACAAGCAAGGACCTAATTCCATAATATCTTACTCCTTGCAACAGACCTCCGATTTATTTTCTATTGATCCTGCGACAGGGGAAATATTGTCAAAGTTTGTTATGAATTATAAACGAACTTCAATTAATCAATCTCCTGAAAATACTTACTCTGTGGTTGTGGTTGCAACTGATAATGGAAAACCTCCGATGTCTTCAGAGTGTCTAGTTACTATTAACGTGGTCGATGCCAACAACAATGCACCTAAATTTAAAAGTCATGAAAAATTTGTTCCTGTCCCAAAAGAAGCAAAAATAGGCGAAAAAATTATTAAAGTGATTGCTGAGGATGAATTGGATTTTGGTATTAATGCTGAAATTGAATATCATGTAACTGGTGGAAATGGAACTGCTTTTCTTACAATTGGCAGAACCGATGGCTGGATAAAAGTAAGCAAAAAGTTTTATTACTTAGGCCAGTATTACGAATTAAAAGTTAAAGCTGTGGACCGTGGCGTTCCTCCGCAATCAGATGAAACAAAATTAACATTTGTAGTTACGGATGAAAATGTTTATAGTCCTAAATTCACTGCATTGAGTTATCAAGTTATTGTCCCCGAGAATGAACCAATAGGATCACCTATATTAACAGTTAAAGCAAGTGACGAAGACGAAGGTCCTAATGGTATTATAAGGTATTCGATCTCACCTGGAAATGCTGGAAAAGAATTTCATATACATCCCATATCCGGAGTTATAAGTATTTTAAGGTCTTTAGACTACGACACCATTCAAGAATATAGACTAAACATTACTGCTAAGGATCTAGGATTCAAATCCAAAGAAACGACCGCTACATTAACGATTATACTGACTGATATAAATGATAACGCCCCCATATTTAATCAAACGCAATACATTGCTTACTTGCCAGAAAATTCACCTGTTAATAGTTTTATATACAAAGTTAAAGCAGTTGATATAGATTCGCCCAAAAATGCAATTATTAAGTATTACATTCAAAATGAAATGTCCTCATTATTTCACATCGATGTTGACTCGGGAGAAATATTTTCTAAAGATATATTTGATTTCGAAGAAAAATCCATGTACAAATTGCAAATATTAGCAAAAAATCCTGATTCGACTATGCAAAATACAACTGAGGTAATTGTATATATAACAGGCGTAAATGAATACTATCCAAAATTTATACAGCCAGTATTTCATTTTGATGTGTCAGAATCTGCCGAAGTTGGTACAAACGTTGGCGATATTCAAGCTACAGATCAAGACAGTGGGGATGATGGAATAATTTACTACTTGTTTGTGGGATCAAGTAACGATAAAGGTTTCAGTATAAATTCTCAGACGGGTGTGATAAGAGTTGCTAGATATTTAGATAGAGAAACACAAAACAGGGTAGTTTTAACAGTTCTAGCAAAGAACTCCGGCGGTATTCATGGTAACGATACAGATGAAGCACAAGTTATTATATCTATTCAAGATGGAAATGATCCACCCGAGTTTTTACGACATTTATATGAGGCTACTATTTCTGAAGGTGCCAGAATAGGTCAAGAAGTTATTCAGGTAAAAGCCGTAGACAAAGACGTAAGACCACAAAACAACCAATTCAGTTATTCTATCATTGGTGGAAATATCAACCAAGAATTTAAAATAGACCCACAATCTGGTGAAATTGAAGTCTCTCGGTACCTTGATAGGGAAACTATCCCCATGTACTCACTTATTGTGGGTGCAATAGACACTGGAATTCCTCCTCAAACTGGTACAACAACTGTTAAAATCACACTAACAGATATTAATGACAATGGACCTTTATTTGATAATGCTAGTTTTGAAGGTGCTGTTTATGAAAATGAGCCTCCTAATACAAGTATAACCACATTGACTGCTAAAGACCCAGATCTACCTCCAAATGGAGCACCATTTTCTTATTTCATAGTAGGCGGAAAGCACCAAAATTATGTCAAAGTCAACCGCCATACAGGTATTCTTCTAACAACTAAAAAAATTGATCGAGAAGTAACTCCTAATTTAGAAATAATTGTTCAAATCGAAGATAGCGGTAATCCAGTTATGAAGTCTAATTACACATTAATGATCAAAGTATTAGATAGAAATGACAACCCACCAACTCCTAGATCTGCTCATATACTTGTATATGCTTTCAATAATAAAGTAACTAACGGAAAAATTGCAAATGTTAAACCAAATGATGCAGATATTGTTGGAGATTATAGATGCAAAATTATTAAAGAGTCTACTTCTGAAAGCACTCTTTCAATGTTAAGTATAAAAAATGGATGCGATCTTTACACAACAGCAGTAAAACCAGGACAAGGATATACGTTCTCCGTCTTAGGAAACGATGGAATACATAGAGATGTCATCTCATCCTTAAGTATAGAATATTTCTCTTTTGATAACGTCACTATAGAACAATCGATTACAATAAAAGTTTTAAATATGACCGCCTCAAATTTTTTGCAACAATACTATAGAAGTTTACTCGAAATATTAAAGAATGGGCTACATAATAAAGAACACGTTTATTTGTACAGTATTACTGAAGCTGAAAATGACTTACATTTAACATTAGCAATAGAAAATAATAATTCCGTTTGGAAAATAGAAAATACAGAAAAATACTTAAAAAACAAGGCATCGGCAATAGTAAAGTTATTAAAAAGAGAAATAGAAATACCTTATTTTCCATGTACCTCTCATAAATGTGAAAATAACGGCATTTGTACAGATTCAATAAAAGTGATAGATGAAACTAAAATTACCGAGAGCTCAAATCTTATATTATCATCACCGTTTGTTAAACATGACTATAACTGTGATTGTACCGATGGTTTCATGGGAAATAACTGTGAAAAAAGGCAAGATCCTTGTTCGCCAAATCCATGTCATTTTGGCGGACTGTGTAAAAAACAAGGCCATGACTTTGTTTGCAACTGTCCAATCCGCAGAGAAGGCAAGACTTGTGAATTAGAAAGAGATGATGTATGTAGCAGCAATCCCTGTAAAAATGGAGGATCCTGTAAAGAAAGTGCTGACAGAAACTCTTTCTTTTGCCTTTGTAGACCAGGTTATCGAGGGAATCAATGCGAAGCGCTTGTGGACTCATGTAGACCAAACCCTTGTTTGCATGGTGGAATTTGTGTCAGCCTTAAACCTGGATATAAATGTAGCTGCACTAATGGTCGCTACGGCACACACTGTGAAAGTACAACATTTGGATTCAATGAATTATCTTATATGCAGTTTCCGGCATTAGACGCATCAACTAATGATATTACCATTATATTTGCAACAACTAAACCAGATTCATTGCTATTATACAACTTTGGTGCGCAATCAGGAGGAAGATCTGATTTTATAGCTATTGAACTACTTGGCGGCAGACCAATATTTTCTTTTGGTGGATCTAGAACTTCTATAACTTCAGTCACTATAACAGATTCAAATAAAAATCTTGCTGATGGTGGGTGGTATAAATTATCTGCAACAAGAAATGGAAGAGTTATTTCTTTAAGTGTTGCCTCATGCATTGACCATGGAGATGTATGCACAGAATGTGAACCAGGAGATGATTCATGCTATGGTGATGAAACAGGACAAGCAGGGTATGTAATATTAATTCATTTATATAAATACTGAGACTAGATAAGTTACATATACAAGATAAAGTAAAGTCGATTATGGTTGTACACAAAGCCACAGGATCGTTGTTGAAAATTGAGAATTTTCTCGAATTGAATTTGTTTAATATTAATTCTAAATAAATAAATATTGCTCATAATCACACTTAAAGTAAGCACTGTAAGGCTAGTGTTATGAGATACTAGTATAATGGATAAAATAATGTATATACTGATACATAAGTACATTTATATAGACACACATATTATGTATTATAAAAGTTGTTTTAAAATTTATTATCAACTAGCTGACCCGGCGAACTTCGTACCGCCTTAGCGTAGCTTTGATTCACTACTTTATTTTGTATAGCTGACCTATCTTATGTATGAGTACCTATTCAATTTTTTTATTTTTCTTTATATTTTTTTCCGTAAGAACCTTGTACAGAGTATTAGAAAACTACAAAAAAAAAACAGCCAAATCGGTCAAGCCGTTTTCATGTTATGTCGTGACAACGGAAAACGGGTTTCATTTTTATATATATAGATTGAGAAAATTTATCATTAGTGCTAAAATTTATCAATAATTCTGAATATTTCCATTTTGCACTACCGAGTGCGAGAGGGATCAAAAAAATTTTTTTTTTTATTGTCGTTATTTTCATCTTGTCTCAATTTCATATTATCCTTTTCAAATTACATCATGTTTATGTATTTTTTTAAACATGTATCTTAAGTCTTGAATTATTTATTTACAGAACTCTGAACTTCAACAACGAACCACTTCTTATTGGTGGATTAAAGAAAGCGGACCCTGTTTTGGAACGTCCGGGGCAGATACACTCTGATGATTTCGTTGGGTGTATGCACAGTATATCCATAAATGGACGTTTATTGAATTTAAGTAATCCAATAAACTCAAGAGGAATTGACTCGAGCTGCGAACGCACTGAAAAGGGGCCCTGTTCCAAAAAAGATGCATGTGGTAGAGGGGAATGCCTTGACAGATGGAAAAATAATTACTGCAAATGTGATGATAATTTAATTTCTCCAGATTGTACAACATCACTACAGTCAATATCGATCGGTGAAAATGGATTTATCACTTATTTGATATCAGAAAAACATAGACGAATTCAGTTACTTGAACAATTTTATGGAGGCAATACAAGATGGGATAAGAAAATAAACAGAATCTATGGTAAGGCAGCTACAAAGACCCCTGCTAAAATATTGACCTTTTTCTTTAGAACTCATAGAAAAGATGGCATTTTATTTTATGCTGCTACAGAAAAATATTATACCCTAATTGAAATATCTGATGGTAAAGTCAGTTATACTTCAAAACAAAACACTGTAGTTAATATGACTCAAGAAGAACAACATGATGTGGCTGATGGAAAATGGCACAACATTACCCTATTTTCGCTAGGGAGAAGTATACGTTTGATGGTCGATAACAAAAATATTGGAGAAGAATTAGATACTGCTGGAGTACACGATTTCCTTGATCCCTATCTTACTGTTATGTCACTTGGAGGACTTAAGTTGGAATGGCTAGCATCGACAAGCAATAATAAATTTGAAGGGTGCTTTGCTAATTTCACAATCAACAATGAAATTCAACCGTTTACTGGTAATGGCAGCATTTTTAAAGATACGCAGAAGAACGGAAAAATATTGTCTGGATGCCACAGTGCTTTTGGTTTAGGCTTAATACAAAATCCAGACCCTCTAAGTATTGGGATAACGCTAGTTATAGTTTTCTTTATTATACTAATAGTAGCAATTTTAGTATCTTTTGTTTTCTTCCGACTTCGCAAACAAAAGAAAGAAAAAGGAAATTCACCTACAAGTAAAGGCAATATTATACATACAAAACAGAACGGTGGTCCTGCTATGCTTAATGCTCCTAATTTGATTGCTGGTACCAATGATAGTTTGATGGGTCGAAATCTTCACAGCAATGAAACTAGTTTGAATAGCTACATGTCAGATAATGCTGACATAATGCGAAATGTAGGACACATCGTGGGGCCAGAACTTTTATCAAAAAAATATAAAGACCGCGAAATAATGAATATAGATCCACCGAGACCTCAACGCCCAGATATAATAGAAAGAGAAGTCGTTGGTAAAAGTCCAGCGCTTCGGGAAGATCACCATCCACCTCCCCCTCCATCCACTAACACATCGCACCATACGCATGACCATCCTAGTGGTATAGATTTAAATTCTGAAGTTCCAGAACATTACGATCTTGAAAACGCAAGTTCAATAGCACCATCTGATATTGATATCGTATACCATTATAAAGGGTTTAGAGAAGCTGCAGGTGTGCGTAAATATAAAGCTACACCACCGCCTATAGCTGGTTACCATCATAAACATCAAACTCCACAACACAGACATTCGCCGCACCATACCAGCGGGTATCCTTCGAGAGTTTTACCGCAAGCATCACAACCACTAGCCCAACCAAGACAACATCAAACTACTCCTCTAGCTCGTCTTTCACCAAGTAGCGAATTAAGTCAGCAGCCAAGAATTTTGACATTGCATGACATATCGGGCAAGCCCCTTCAAAGTGCCCTATTAGCTACTACTTCCAGCTCAGGTGGAGTTGGAAAGGATGCATTGCATAGTAATAGTGAAAGAAGCTTAAATAGTCCCGTAATGTCACAACTCAGTGGACAGAGTTCATCAGCAGGAAGAAAAACACCGAGCGTTCCGCCGCAAGTTCCACAAGTAGTATCTGTCGGATCAGGCGCCGTAGGGCTTACATCTGAAGAAATAGAACGAATGAACGCTCGACAACGTACATCTAGCTTAGTATCCACTTTAGACGCAGTATCTAGCTCAAGCGAAGCCCCAAGAGGTGGAGGCGTTGGTCATCATATGTCCCACAGACACCATTCACCACAAGACGATAACAGAAGTTCTAGTGGATCGGATGATGAAAGCGGTAATGATAGTTTTACGTGTTCAGAAATAGAATATGATAACAATAGTATTAGTGCTGATAAACCGGAAGATGGTCGAAGGCAAAATTTAAGTAGTAATAGTAATTCTAAGAAACCAATTGTGCCTCCTCCTTATGAGAGCTTTGAGTCTTCATTTCGTGGCTCTCTCAGCACTCTAGTCGCTTCTGATGATGACCTCGCTCCACACGTGGGTTCGGCTCTTTATAGACAAGCAAACGGATCACCAGCTTCAGCCACTCTTGGTTGGGACTATCTGGCGAATTGGGGTCCAAATTTCGAAAGTATGATAGGAGTTTTCAAGGATATTGCTGAACTACCCGATTCAGTGAATGGACGAATATCTTCCACATTAAGACTGCCAAATGGTACGCCGAAACCCTCGGAAGAGTATGTTTAGATTTATATTATTTTAATAATTGTATATAGGTAGTTATGTAAATGTTAAGTTCTTGTACAAAGTATCATTATATTGGTGATCTTGTATCAAGGTCATAATCTTGCCATATATTTTTGTTAAATAATATTGTATTTCCAAAAATGATTTATTTTGGAAACGTGTAATTGCTTTGTACAATTTTATGAAATACTCTTGTGTACATACATTGTTCATGATCTGTGTGACATAGATACTTTTTCTTTATCTTTCCATTATAAATAAAACAAAATGAATTTTGATAGTGCATAAGGGCTCTGCCTGTTTAAAATCAATTTCTGTAAATAGATGTAAAGTTTTTACGCTTATTTTTATGTAGTTGTAATAAATTATTGTGATTACTTACTTTCTTTGTAAATGTACATTATCATAATTACAATTCACAATGTCGTAAATATATTGTTATTATGTTCACAATCAGACCTCTTGAAAGTGTTTTATGGAATAAAGTAGCCATATTTTTGTGAACAAAGTGCCAAATGTGTCTTATGTTCAAAAGAACTGACTGATTTATAAGCAAACAATAAAAGTAATTTGAAATATTTTCTGTGCTTTTATTCTGGAATTGTCCCTATAGATACTTACTTACTGAGGAGCTCGTGGGCGCAACTGGTTAGCGCGTTCGGCTGCGATCGTTGAAGTTAAGCAACTTTCGCAGTGGTCGGTCATTGGATGGGTGACCAAAAATTTACTGTCTCGAACTCCTCCGTGCTTCGGAAGGCACGTTAAGCCGTTGGTCCCGGTTGCATCTGCAGTCGTTCGCACCCACGTGGGTTAGGGACCGCGTGGTGGGTCATGGCCCAATCTCCCTATTCCATCCAGACCTGTGCCCCAGCAGTGGGGACATTAATAGATTGATGATGATGATACTTACTTACTAAGGTAGATGCACAAATTCAAATTCAATTATAATTTAATAAATACGCAATTTGTATGGTAATCAATAACGTGATAGAATGTTATTATCAGCGTACCATTTCCATTTGAGAAAGCAGATTGCTCAGCTTCCATACATGTTTGGCCTAAAGACCAATAATCATGAAAAATTGTTTCCTATATTCGAAATTATATATAAATTACTGTAGAAACGAATATTATTAACGGACACCCCTGAGAACTTCTATAAACCATATACACTGAACATATTAAAATAATATTAAACAAATAAGTTATATAGTAAACTAGGGAAATCGAGCCAAGCACCGAAATTATGGATTAGATTCAGGTATATAGAGCATGTAGATTAACAGATAGTTGCCTGTTTTTAAAGTTAATTCATAAGAGTCACTTTTAAAATCAGGTGTAATTTCCGGTTATAATAAGGTACTCTGTGACAGAAACTGTGTGATGATTGTGAATGAGCCACAGATTAGAGAGAATTTTTAAACTCTCGTTAGCCAAAGAAAGCTAAGAGATTTAGGTTCTATAGCCATATATTCAGTAGCTTCATTATTTTTGTTATGTTTTTAAGATAACTATATTTTAGATTTTAGTGTATCACACCTTAAAATTTTATTTATTTATTAATTTATAGTCAGGGAACGTAGGCCCATAGATAGATACCTTAAAGTCTAACATAAATAGGTACCTAGTGAAAATGATAATATAGTTGTGGATATTAATACCACAGTGTAATAAAAAAAATGATTTATTTTATCGATCTTTACAAAATAGATTTGTTTTTATGTTATATAAACAACTTCGATCAGTCTTTGGCTGAATGTTACTACACCCATAGCCATTAAAAATAATTCGTATGTTTTCCAAACCGGTAAAATTAAAAGTCCTTTTTAAAGTAAATATATTATACCAAGGTGTCCGTTGAAATCTAATGACTGTAAATTAAATAATAAATTACGCCAAGAATTACCGTGTATGTCAATATTTTTTGTGCATTTAGGCCAATATGAGCAATCTCCTTTAGGCTAAAAATTTTCATTTTATGTTATAAATGCAAAAGTTTATGCATTTCGTAGTTTGTGTAACTTATAAGTTATTAGTCCATACTGCTAGCTAGCACTTCATAGCTATCACTTCGTTGCTATTCATATTGTAGATTTATTAATATTGTAAACTTTACATTACTATATCCTTTTCATTAGCTTTACAAGACTACGATACGGATATACCGCTGTCAAATGTATTAATAGCAAATATAAATGGCCATGTGCAATGCTATGCATTACTCAACCATAAAAAAACGCCTAAATGGATTTATATGAACTTCGGCACACCAATAGTTCAATGACGACATTTATAATAGAAAACTAATATATCTGTCAGAATTACTTTAGTTTCTATTAGCAGTATATCTCAAAATATTAATTAGAAACATTTTATTATATACAAATTAAATAATAATAATAATAATAATATATTATTTAAACGCACAAAATGGATTAAAACTACTAAATAAACTAAATACTTATATCAAACTAAAAATAAAACTATATTATATAAAAAATCGAACCCAAATCGCTGCGCTCGCAGGGTAGGGTGCCCAAGAGGCTGGCGGCATTTCCCCGTTGAATGGCCAGGCTCAGCCTTTGTCCGAAATACGCGCCAGCCCTTGGATCCCCTGAGGCCTCGATGAGGCGTGTAGAAATCTCCTTAAATAGCTGACGAGCTTCCGCACCCCAAGGCCCCAAGGTCTCCACGGCAAAAGGCGTAAATATATACGGCTCTCCCAAGGCCCCATATTTACGCCTTTTATTGAATTCGGCTGTCGCCGCAGCTGCGCCGGCTTTGTGAGCGGTCGCTCTCACGTGAGATGGGGCAACAGTGTCCACTCATGTGGCATCACACACGAGTGACCGCCCGTTTTTCCACGGGATGAGCGTCATACCATCGGGCCTCTACCTCTTGCCATCGTCCCGGGCGATGCCATTAGGTTCAAGCACTGCTGGCACCCCGGAAGAGGCAAGGTCGCGACGGATGACGTCATTTAAGGCGGCATGACGCGGAATGCGTCCTGCACTGCGACGACATGCTAAACCGTGATGACCTAGAGGATCGACGTCTACCCCACAACGACAGCGATGGGGTTCGTTAGTCCGGGCCCCTAGCCGTAGGCTCACCGCCAAACTAAATGTCGTCCTCTCCAAAAGGGTACCTACGCTAAGCGATGGAATGGCATTTAACCAGTATCCTGACTCTGGTTCACAACTGGCCAAGAGACGAGACCGCTCCGCTTCGTTTTCTGAAGACTCTAACAGTTGATTTCGGGTCTTCATGCAGAGTGGCTCATCCCACTGCCGCTGCGAAGCCAGGTTCAGGGGTAGGTCCGGACCGGTTGTACTGAGCCAGGTATCCCTGGCCTCGGCCAAACAGGCAACCTCTACGCCGCAGAACGACGGGCCTAGTATGCTACCAACGAGGTTAACCGTGCTATAAACTGAGGACAGGAAGGCTGGCAGTGCTAAACTTGAAATTTTTCGTATTCCCGGACCACCATGGCGAATCGGCAAGGTTGCTTGGGCCCAGCACCTATCATTCAAAGGACAATTGAATGTACTATTTAAAGCTACTCTTACTGTCTCATCTAAGCGAGAGAGAAGGTCGTTGTGGGCCCAAAGCGGTGTACAGCGAAGCGTATAGGTAGTCTTGGGAACAAAGAGACAGAATTTTATAATAAAATAAGCCATGTGAGGATTTATGTCTTTTAGGTGGCTGGAAGATTCCTGAAATTTTAATATTTGATCCTCTACAATTTTGGTGAAAGCCGCTTCCAGCACCGGTGCCCCTAGTAGACGGAGCGACTGGGCGTCAATAATTTTAATATTAGGAGCCAAAACATTAAATTTAGAATTTAGTTCATAACGAGATTGTGCCGGTAGTCTTTCGCTGAAATACAACTCGCATTTAGAAAAAATTAACTGTAAACCAATATCAGTGAACGATTTTGTAATTTTATCCAAATCTGACAAAACAGAAGCAGCGTCTCCACCCAGGGTCCCGTCGTCTAAATACCATACATTGAATTTTGAAGTCAATTTCTTTATGTGGGGGTGTATTGCCAGACTGAATATTGCCGGTCCGAGAGGGTCGCCCTGCTGACAGCCGACAGCTGATTGTATTACTTGACCATTATAGGCTAGGCTGGTTGATCCGCTGTAGCATTGCCACAGGTAAGCAAAGGTAAGTGGTATCTTTTCCTTTGCCTGGGTCAGCAAAACGCCCCTGTCCAGAGAGTTGAATGCATTCTTTACATCTACCTTTAGCAACACTTCGCTTAAGCCTTGCTTGAGAAAGGTGCGCGCAGCGTGAACAGCAGCCTCACACCACCCCTTGGTTCCAAAACCTAACCCCGTTGGCTGAAATTCCTGCTGCAAATCTAGCAAGATGTAGCTACAGCAGATTTTGGAAGCCACACGACGAATTGTATTGCCTACGGCAATTGGACGGATGCCACCATCCATTTTCCGAAGCGCGCAACTACCCAGAGAACATAAGATTCACGAGGCGGGTCAAATCCTCTAGAAGTGCAGTGTCGACATCACCAACAACACCACAAATCAAATCTTTAATTAGAATATATTCATGAAAATTCAATGTTGGCTAGATAATATTAAGTAAGACCTAAGTGAACCAAAGAAACGCAATTATTTAATTTAAACTACTTGAAAGAAGCGAGCTAAACGGCTTAAGAAAGGCTAGAAAGAATTCGACACGACCATCAGGAATCGGGATCGGATAGCGAAGGGTGCGGGTTCGAGTCCCGTCTGCTACCTGGTCCGCGTGTTTTTTTTCTAGTAATATTTTCTTTAGATTTAAACATCAAACCGGTACATGTTTAAAAAAAAACATATATAACAGTGATGCAATTAAAGATAAAGGTTTGCACGTATTATAATTTTATTAAAAGCAGATTTATAGCTTTAATATTTGATTTCCTGAGTTATGGTCATCCCATTAAAAAGGGATAAAATGCCTCTGTTCTATATCTACCTTTTTATTTCTTATTT